TTATTTCTACTTTCAGGTCTTGAATGGTTGTATTCATTTCCTTCACCTGTTTGTGTTTTCTGGAATTTCTTTAAGGAACTTGTTCATTTCCTCTTTAAGAACCACTATCATCTTCATAAGATTGGGCTTAAGGTCATTTTCTTGTGCTTTCCACTGTGTTGGTTCTTGCATCATTGATACTTTAAATAAATGATAATTCCTATCTGTACCATTAAGCTGATGATGCTAAAATCCCAATATTAGCCTCTGGACCATGTGCTACTCGGGGGCAGGGCATTGTTGAAAAGGTACATGGGCATTGTAAGACTCAATTACAAAAAATAAAAAGGGGGAGTTACACCCTCAGTCACCACACAATGCACCGAAGCATTGCATCATGCCTTATTTGTTTTAAAACTTTTAAATGTAGATGCTGCTGGAAAATCTGCCTTTAATCTGTATAGAAGCAGGTTCTGAAATAAACCTGGGGCTGTCTGGTGTTGACTGGGAGTCCTCCTGACTCTGCCCTGTCTTCTTTCCTTTCTCAGTCTACTGCCCCTACTCAGGTGTCCTAGCTGACCCACTGGAGCAGATTCTACAAGCTTACCCATCCTTAAAACCTTAAATACCGTACGAAAGAAAGGGAAGTGGAGATGTGAGGGCTTTGTTGAGGTTCACTAATGAAAAACTATGTTCTTCTGGTAGACTAGGACCTGAGTTCCTCCTCTGGCTTTGTGTAGAGACATGACAATCTAATCTGTCCTGAGGATTAGAATAGTGCTTACTATTATTCCCTCCAACACCAGTAAATCAACTGGGCCTCAGTCACCATAGAACATCGGTTTTGGGTTATGTATGTACACACACTCTGGGATTAACAACAAACTGTGCAGTCTGTATGATGCATACACAGTCCTCTCTAAATCATGCATCTGGTAACCCCAGAAATCCCTTGGTGCCGCATCTGCATCAGGCTGCATGTCTTTGAACAGTGCAAACATGTAAGTTCTCATGCCCGTGGTAACAATCAAGCTGAACAGTTTCTATCAATTTTACTCCCAAAGAATCTGCATATGAATATCCGGATGGCTGGTCTGGCCTGAACTGATTATAGTGCTTAGGCAGTAAAACAAAATTTTGAAAATCTATTGGGGGAATTCTTTGTATACCATTTTATATGTATACATAATTGGTCTACACATGATTAAAATTAGATTCAGTATGGGAAAATACATTCAAAGTAAAAAATTGATTATATTGTTGCAGTTTGAATGTAATTGGCCCCCATAATGTTGTAGGGAGTGGCACTATTAGGAGGTTTGGCTTTGTTGGAGTGGGTGTGGTCTTGTTGGAGGAAGTGTGTCACTGTAGGGGTGAGCTTTGAGGATTCGTATGCTTGGAATAGTGACCTTTAAGTCAGTTGACTTTCTGTTGCCTGCAAGATGTATCACTCTCAGCTCCAGCAACCACATCTGCCTGCACACCTCCATGCTCACCATCCTGATGATAATGGACTGAACCTCTGGAACTGTAAGCCAGCCACCCCAATTAAATGTTTTCCTTTATAAGAGTTGCCATGGTGTGTCTTCACAGAAATAGTTACCCAAACTAAGACAATGATCCAATCTTTCAATCTAAACCATACTCCTTTGTAGCTAGCTCCTCCAGATAATAATAGGGGTCCTTGAGGACTCTCATGTGGCCAACTCTCAGTCTTGACAGTGTAGTTCTCTCTGATCTGTAGTATCCCTTTGTTCCCAATGCTCTCTTGCTTCTCTACAAATCTGTATGATTGCCTAGTTTCTTTTCTTTGGTAAGAGAATAAGAACCTGGGAAAATCCATCCTAGACCATGACCACCAGTAGCAATGTCAATCACCTGGCCAGAAGAACACCTCAAGAAAGCTGACACATGAGATATGCTAAAAGATAGGAGTAATTGTCTCCTTAGTGAAGCATTTCCCTTGGTGCAGTTGCTTGCAGATCTTTACTGCTAAGGCTGCATGAGTTTCTGAACTCTAATCAAAATCCATAATGCTGCCCCCCCATGTATATCCAAAATCCTAAGCATACTTGTTCTGACACCATGGACATTTTCACTGTCTCTGAAGACCTTTCTCCTGACATAGCTGCTTGCGGACCCCCGTAGCTGAGTCTGCCTGCTTTCTTGGACCTTAACTCAAAAGGCATGGTGATCTCTCTTCATCTCACCTATCTCTGTCTTCCAGGCAGCTGCTGAGGCCAACAGCTTGACTGCCTATCATTTCTTTCTAAAATTATAATAAAAAGGTCCTTGAGTTTCTTATAGAGTACAACATCAATGAGACTAAGAATTTACAAAAAGAAACCCTGATCATTGGCAACACAACCATACTTGAGTAAAGTCCTGATCTTTATTTTTTGTCCATATGTGTCTTCTCTGTATGTATATATACCGATGGCCGAAAGAGGATGTCGACTCACTGGGAACTGGGGTTCCAGGTGGCAATGAAAGACCTGATGTTTGCTGGGAACCAAACTCAGGTCCTCTGGAAAAGAAGCATACGTTCTTAACTCCCAAGACCTGTCTCTAGCCTTTACTTTTAATGAAGATTTACAGCACTATATTATTACATCTCAAAAGAAGCTGGTGTGTATACCAGGATAAGGTGGCAAGTCCTCACTAGTGGGTTGGAAGTAAGAGTTCTACCACTGAGTTGCATCCAAACACATAATTTTCAAACAGAGTCCTGCCATGTAGCCCAGGCTGCCCTAGGCAGAGGTAGAGTCCTTTCTTCTGAGCAGAAAGAAGCCTCTCCCTTGCTAGGCCTCAGCAGAACAGTGAAATCCACCTGTGACGGCCTCCAGGATTGCTCTAATTGTGCCTCTTCAGGAGCTGAGTCCCTAAAATCCTTTGGAAGTGAACTAAAATTGGAGGCTATAATGCAAGTGGAAACAACATAGTTAAATGTAGATTTTTTTTCGGAACTTTGGACGTCTTTGATGGAGGTGCCATCCCAGGCCTGTGTTTCTTGGTACAATAGGGAAGCAGGCTGAGGTAGCCATGGGGAGCAAGCCAGTAAGCAGTGTTCCTCTATAGCTTCTGCTTCAGTTTCTGCCTCCAGGCACCTTCCCTGCTCGAGTTCCCGCCCTATCCTTCCTGTTTCATCAAGTATTATTATATCCTTTTTGAGTCTCTGATGGAGTTGAATATTAGATAGAGTTACAGTTTTCCTCCAGGGGGCCAGGGTAATTATATCCTCCCATGTCTGGATTGCATTGTGGTGACAATTCCAGGCCTAGGAAGAGTAGCACACATCTCAGCGCCTCAGCACTGGGCCATTTTTGTGTGGAGTTTTATTAGCCATCGTGGGATCCCACTCACCGTGACTGACTGCTTAGCCCCGGGACCAGCCGAGTCCCACATTGGGCACAGTTGTCTGGCCTCCTTAGCCTTATTCCCCAGGGAATGGCGTGCTATCCACCCCTTCTGTAGCCCCACGAAGCAGGACACAATAGGAAGTCAAGTCAAAGCAGGAACTCAGTTTATTACTGTGAGTGTCAGCTTATATAGGTTAAGTGACATCATAGGGGCTGATGTGATGCGGGGGTACCTCCAGCCAATGAGAGACAGCCAAGCCCTCCCTCTCACTGGAGGGGCATCTACCTAGATTTTGCTGTCTCATCCTCACTCAGTAGCTTTGAGACTATCCTTCAAACTCGAGCCAGGCTTTTCTCTGATCTACAGGCATCAAGGCACAGGCCCTGAGATAATTTTGGCCCAACACAGAATGGGTTAGAGGTAAAGCTACATAGTAGGACATTCACTAATAAAAATATGGGTTAATTTAAGTTATAAGAGCTAGTTAAAAACAAGCCTAAGCTAAAGGTCAAGATTTCATAATTAATAATAAGTCTCCATGTCTTTATTTGGGAGTTGGCAGGATAGCGAAAGACTCATTACAATAACATTTTTCTCTCTTAAGTAGGTTCTACTACCTGTTTGCAGTTCTTTGCAGATGTCTTGTGGCTCTAGAGTTTCCCTCTAACAGCTTGGGGTCCTCACTGCAACTTGGGCCTCACTTTCACAGCTTCATGCAAGAGCTTCCCACAGCCTTTCCACAGGGATGCCAGACCTGCCACCATGACTTGGACTCAGTGGCTATCAGAAACCAAGAAGATGACTCCACGATCCCCTCTGCCTTACATCTTTCATTCTTCTGCTAGCACTGTGAGGATAACAGTGCCACTTGGGACCAGCGTTTGCTCCCGTAGAGTACAATCAGCATCAGTGTTGGCATGCTGTGTTTTCCAGGACCAGGACGTCTCCCAGGTCTACTTTTCCCACAAATTCAGAGCTTAGCTGGGTGGGATCTTGTCCTGGTGGCACTCATCCAATTATTCCTGTGCAGAGCGCAGGTCTCCCTAAGAGCGTTGATATTTCTAACAATTACAGCCTCTTTCCTCACATGCCCTGGCTGTAAGAGTAATTAATTAGTTAATTAATCTTTCTAATAATTACAGCCTCTTTCTGCACATGCCCTGGCTGTAATAGTAAGTTTCTCAGGCCCCTTTTCTCTCCCAACAATATTTTTGTTTCCTTCATGACGAAGATCTACCTAAAAATTATCAGTAATAGCCATACTACAGATGCAATGTTATATTGTCTTGAAATTTCCTACATCAAAGAAATGAGACTTGTTTAATTTTGCTGCAGGCAAGTTCTTGGGATAAAGGCAGAGGGCAGCAGATTCCGTGCCAAGGCGCAGCATACGTGGACTAGAGTAGTCTGGTGCTAATAGTTTTATTTCCTCTGAAACCCCGTGATCCAGGCCTCTGCTTCCACACTGTTATCTTCCTGTACTAGGACAGTCTGCTGATGTCTGCTTACAATAGTCACATGCTTCCCTCCCCTACCTTAGAGTCTTCCGTACTCCTCCAAATAAACATTTCAGGTTCTTTGCAACAACAACCCCACTTCTTGGCACCAACTTCTGTATTAGTTACATTCAGTTGCTGTGATAAAACACCGTGACCAAAGAAAACAGAAGGAAGAGTTTATTTTGGCTTAAAATTCTAGAGGACTAGATTTTCATACTGGTGGAAAGGCTTAGCATCAAAAGTGAGAACCCGAAGATCACATCTCAGTTGCATACAGGAGGCAGAAAGTGAGACCTGGAAGTTGGGTGAGATCATGAACTCCAGGCCCACCACCAGTGACATACATACATCCTCCAGCAGACTCTATAACCTGCAACAGCACCACCAAGTGCTGAAATCATGAACCAAAAGGGGAAAAGTCTTATTCAAACCAGAAGAGGAAGTCAAGACAATGAGAGCTTGAAGCAGCTTGTAATAGTGTACCCAGAGTCACAAAGCAAAGAGCAATGCTTGCCTTGGTCAGTTTTTGTCTCTGTATACAGCCCTGGATTCTAGCCCAGGTCAAGGCACCATCAACGGTGGGTGGGTATGCATTCCCATCATAATTAATATAATATATTCCCCCACGGGTTTCCTCAAAGGATCATCACATAGGCTAGTCTAGAGCAGATGAGGTTGACCACTGAGATTAATCAACAGCCTGAATTTTTAAAAGTAATTTGATGTCCAATGATATGAGTAAAGCTAAAATCCATATATATATATATATATATATATATATATATATATATATCAATATATCATAGTCCTCACGTTTGCAAGATTTCATTATGTTTGATAAGAAAGCAGGTGAATGATGGCTTCATATTTTCCTTCACTGTACTCCTCGCTGCTGTTGAAGTTCTGGTGCCAGCAGGGTCTTCCGTGTTCAGTGAAGACAGCTTTGGCCCTCTTTACATTTGTGTTTTTCCCAGCCCGTGTGGCTGACGTGACAAGTCATGCGTATCGTAGAATGCTCTGCAGACTGTTCTTTACAGGCAGGGTCTTACTGTCTCGCCCTGGCTGTAGGCCTCAGACTCCCAGGTGCCTGTCTCCGCTGGGGTTAAAGGCATGCGCTACCACACCCGACGTTTGTTTCACTGATCTGGCTGAGACTAGCATTCAACATTGGTTTCTTAATAAAACTGCTGCACCAGGACATGAATTAATTAGCAACGAAAGCATGTGTCACTACATGGCTAAGTATTTCCTGGCACGCTTTCTCGCTTACAAGAGGTAATGTGAGGGCTGGCCTGTCTACCCTCTCAGGGCAGAGCTTTCCGGTGTTCGTTACTCTCACGTGGTCCTTCAACTGAGCGAGGTTTCAGAGGCAAAGTGACACAATTGCCTGGGAAGCCTTTTCTGTATTCCTCACATCCACACGGTTGCCCGTCCACTTGTACACACTGACACTGAGATTTCATAAGATTCTTCTCTGCTTTTTATAATAGAGACATTTTTCCAGCATAATATTTTTATTATTTGGGAATTTCAAACTACGTATCCCGGTCACACTCCCCATTCCTCCCAGGTCCAACCTCCCACCCTTGTGCCCTGCCCCCAAATACACCAAGTACAATTCATAGTGCCATATACTCATTAGAGTGTGGTAAAACTCCCAGGGCCCAGCCCCTTAAAGATAACTGAGTCCTTTCCCATCCCCCACCAGAAGTCAATAACTGTGAAGAGCTACCCTTCAGCATCTTTATCACAATATTTAAGGACTTTTCTCAATGGCTTCCTGTCTAGACTGCTCTTTTCTCTTGGTGTGTGTGTGTGTGTGTGTGTGTGTGTGTGTGTGTGTGTAGGTTGTTGCAGAAGTCTTCATTGTCTCTTATTCTCAATTTTGAGTCTGGCTGGAGTCATTGACACCATTGCAACAGATGCTTCCTTGCCCACAACAACCAACAGCAGCCTGGATCATGGGCTTCTACATGGTTTCCCAAGGCTGCTCTGACCACGGACATCCACACGGCCTCTGTGAATAATGGAAGATGGACCTCAACATGGTCCCTGAAGACAGCATAGACCACAGACCTCATCATGGTCTCTGGTGGCTGCACAGACCTCAGACATCAGCACAGATCACAGACGTCACCATTGCCTCCAATGGCATCAGAGACCACAGACATCAACGAGGTCTCTTTGGCGGCCCTGATCACAAGCACCAACATGACCCTCAGCAGCAGCATGGACCAAACATCAGCATGGCCTCTGGTGGATAGCTACACCGTCCCCTGTGGTGGGACAGACGATGGACAAACATGACCTCCAGCAAGAGCCCAGACCACTGATACCTGCTGGCAACACTGACTACAAACATCAACATGGCCTCAGGCAGCAGCCCATTCCACAGACAACCACTTGTCCTATGGCAGCAAGTAGTGTGGACCAAGAAAATCAGCAGTCTCAGGCGGCAGCACTGACCAAGGACATCAACACTGGACTCTGGCAGAAACACAGACCACTAATGCCAACACGGCCCCCACAGGGAGCATAGGCCACAGCCATCCTTATGGTCTCTGGTAGCAACACAGTCTAAAGGCATTAACACAGCCTGCACAAGCAGTCCAGACCACAGCACCACGACAGCGGCAGCTGTAGCACAGGCCATATATAGCAATACGGACCATGGAGGATTTGTGAGAAGACCCAGTCCAGAAAATGAACCAGTCTCCATGGACATCCTGACGTTGCTAGGAGCCAGTGGACCCTGGAGGCTGGGGAGCATCTTCGGGACTGGAGCCCACATGTGATCCAGGCTGCTGCTCCCCACCCTGCTGCCCCTACTTGACCATGGCACGCTCCCCGTCCCGTGCTGCACTCCCACACCTGTCGCCACCACCACCGTGGCTCTAGTTCTGTCTTTCTTCACGCGCTGCTCCCTCCCACTGTCCTTCCAGCCACTCCGTTGGATGTTTATTTATCAAAGTGGCATTGCAAACTGCAGCGTGTCACACAGTATATTTTTTTTGTCCAAATAGCTTTATATGCACATACTTATTGCAATGAGTCATTGGTGTGGTTCAAGATCTCTGGTTTCTGAAGCACCATAAATACTGGACTATTGCTGAGGCTCCTCTCAGATATCCTGCTGTTGCCGAGTCAGGGTGATCTTTCAGCTGGGCAGGGTGTCCAGGGCAGGACCCGATAGAGCTCCAGGCCACAGCACATGGCTCTGCCCTTGGTGAAGGCTCACTGAGTATGACTGTCTTGCCTGTAGCCCTTGGGCAGCTCAGGAGGGACCCACCCCACAAGTTGCTCTGTGGTACCACCAGTGTCAGTGACCACCACCATCTTGAATGAATCTTCAAATATTTTTAAAAGATTCTGATATCAGAAATTACAGAAGTGCCAGGACATATTTAGTGAAGGTACAGTCATTCTCTCTGATGCACTGTTGTAGGGCAGTGCTCAGGTTTGGGATTAGGTTTTGGCAGTAGCGGTGGTGGCGGCGGCGGAGGCAGCTCCTCCATGCTGGCTACAGGGGTGATGGGGAGGGAGGAGGGGGCACTGGTTGGGTTAAAGCGTCTCTCACCTGTGGGTTGTCAGCGGTGGTTGGTTGTGGGGGACGGGGGCTCAGGAGAGACTCGACTGCCCCCTGCAGGAGCCATAAGCACCACGGCCATCTTGGCTCCTGTATCATAAAATTTTCTTACATTCCTTAAATTCCTAGGTTTTATCATGTATGGATTTTCTTACATACAGAACTGCAGTACAGAATCCTCCCCAGGCAGAAGTCCTGATCCTGTAGGGTGTTGCTGATGCTTAGTAAGGATACATTTTCATAGTTCTTATAACTATCAGTCTTCTGACTTACGGGCATTCTAAGTAGTCAGGCGAGGACTAACGGGTCTACTAAGCTTTTCTGCGCTGGGGGAGATCTGCTGGTGTTGATTGCTCTGGACCACCACCAACGGAGTTGATCTCAGTTTAGGGGACAAAGTTCACATTCAGCTGACCAGAATGGGCCATTGAGTTCTCTGGCTGACTAAGAGGAGAAAAAGGCACACAGTGAAGAAAGAGGTGGGGCCAAGGGGCTGCCTGCTCTTAGATTAAGGAAGTAGAGAAAGTGGATTGTTTCTCAGTTACTCTGTGAATTTCTCACGTTTATTTCTTAATATTTATCCCCGAGTTTCAGTTTTCAATAAATGATTAAAAAAAAAATCCCAATACTCCTTATATTATCATCCATGTGGCCTCTTGTGCTGGGGCAGGTACGGGGACTGACTTTCTTCACTCCACATCTGTAAAGCTTCTTGTCTGTGTGAGAGCGCTAATGCGCCTGAGCGGTGACGTAGAGAAAGCTGGGCTTCACTCCACACGGTCACGGGGCTTCTGAGCTGATTACCCCTTCGGATGCCGCAGAACCGTGACTTGCACGAAGCCCCTGGCACTTTCCCGCCACATGTGAATGGTCACTCACATTCATTCTTCACTGTGACTCACGGTATAAAGTTCCCTCCTTCTCTTCTCAGGGCTCCTCACCTGAGCCGCCCACTGTCACTCGTGACGTGAAGTAGAAAACTATCCTGCATTCTTTTCCTTCAGAACGCCTGCCACTCGCGCGTGTTCCCTGGTGTACTGCGAGTTGTGATTGGCAGCAGAAAGCGTCCCTACATTATTTGCACTCAAATCGCTCTTACCTGTGTGAGTACTTTGATGTCGAGTGAGGTGCGGCTTGCGGGAGAAGGCTTTCCCACATTCCCTACACTCATAGGGCTTATCGCCTGTGTGAGTCCGCCCATGTACAATGAGTTGTGATTTATAGTAGAAATATCTGCCACACTCGGTACACACATAGGGGCGTGTATCTGTGTGTATGGTCTGATGCAGAGTGAGATGTGACTTGTAGTAGAAAACTTTGCCACAGTCTGAGCACGCATACGACTTCTCACCTATGTGAGTCCTCTGATGTAGAAGGAGTGTGGACTTCTGGTGGAATGATTTCCCACACTCCACACACGCATAGGGCTTCTCGCCCGTGTGAGTCCTCTGATGCACAGTGAGGTCCGATTTGCAGTAGAAGGCTTTCTCACATTCCGCACATTCAAAGGGCTTCTTCTCATCGCTGTGAATTCTCTGATGTCGAGTTAGGTGTGACTTATAGTAGAAAGGTTTCCCACATTCCATGCACTTAAAAGGCTTCTCACCCGTATGAGTTCGCTGATGTAGGGCTAGCTGGGACTGGCAGTAGAAAGATTTCTGGCATTTTGTACAAGCATAGGGCTTCTCATTCGTATGAGTTCTCTGATGTAAAGTGAGGTGTGCTAGTCGGTAGAAGGCTTTCCCACACTCTGCACATTCATAAGGCTTCTTGCCTGTGTGGATTTTCTGATGCTGAGTGAGGTACGTCTTGATGGAGAAAGCCTTCCCACATCTTGCACACTCATAGGGCTTCTCCCGTGTATGAATTAGCTGATGCACAGTAAGTCTCCCCTTAGTGTAGAAGGCTCTCCCACACTCGGAACACACAAAGGCCTTCTTGCCTGTGTGAATTTTCTGATGTTGGGTGAGGTATGACCTGAAGGAGAAAGTCTTCCCACATGCTGTACATTCATAGGGCTTCTCACTTGTGTGAATTCTCTGATGTTCTGAGCTGCATTTCGTACGTTCACAACGCTGCACATCCGTAGGCGCTTCCTGACAGACGGTAGCATGTGAGCTCTGGAAGGAAGCTTCCCTGCCTTTCCCACCCTTACGAAGCCTCTGAGCTTCACTGAGAGTTGAACGGACGATTTTCTTACGGGTCTGAGACGTTTGATTCCTGGAGCCCTGTGATTTCTGGCGAAATGTCTTCCTATTCGCCTCAGTTCCACAGGACTTTGACCCTGGATGGATCCCCTGCTGCTCCTTTAGCTCTGCCTTGAAATAAAGAATTTGTTATATTTCTTATACCTTCAAAGAGGCCTTTGTCCTGGCCTCTGTTCTTGAGGTTCTGTGAGGTCTGATTTCTCACAGGCACATGTACATTTCTCATACATGTGCATTTACATTTCTCATACATGTGCATTTTGCTATTTATTGAATTGACTTTTACACAGTTTAGCACAGAATCCCAAATGTATTAGTAGTGGCTAAACAACGTCACGTGATCTATGTTTTGTGCTACGTATACAAGTGTCACTTAAATGACTTTTCAATATTTACTGAATTTACTACAGGTATCTTTAAATAAAACTTCTTTATGTATTGAACACACTGAGTTAGCTTAGAATGATATTCCTGGTCAAATATACTAAAGATCATTGTTGTTATAGACAAGAAATGCAGGATGCAAAAGGTTTTCCGACTGCATGAAAAACTGAGTTATTCTCCTCCCTGTAATTAAGAAGCTAAATATTGAGAAACAGTACATTCTTGCCTGGGTTAAGTGTCTGTGAGTGTCAGGAAGATGTGAGTACATATATGTTTATGCCAGTGTGTCCGCCTGTGTGCAAGTGTGCATGCACAAAAGTGTGCTTGCAGGTGGGGACCAGAGGCTGACATCAGATGCCTTTCTCAATTACTGTCCACCTTTATTTTTGAGGAAGGGTCTCTCATTAAAGGTGGGGCTTGCTGACTTAGTTAAGATGTCCAGGATGTCCCGGACGGCCTTCTTTCCCAGTCTCCTGCACACTGGGGTAAGAACTTCCCGCCGCCACTTGCAACTTTTTACTTGGGTCCTGGAGAACAAACTTAGGTCCCCACGCTCACAAGGCAGCGCGGTAATAACTGTGCCATCTTGCCAGCTTCACATCAAACTCATATGGATAATAGGCTTCCCCCTTTATGGTCCGATTCAGACGAAGTGCCCAGATTTAAAGCTTTACTTACAATCTTTTCACTTGATGTCTTGGTTTGGAGAGTTTCAACTTCCCACAAATGCACCTTATGATTTTCCTGGCTGGTCACATTCTGGGCAGTCAATACAGGAAGATCTGAAATTAGATTAAAAATATCCCTATCCATGAATCACATTATAGTCTTTTTATGCAATTCTAACATAAAGTGGACTTTTTCCCTCATAGAAATTATAGAGTAATGAGTGTGAACATCTTAGTGCTTTACAGATCTGTGTAACAAATGGGACTAGTACACACTACACGCTGGGTCATGACTCTTACTGTTGTGTTTTCTTCTGGGGAAGCACAAAGACAAGCTACTCACCTCTTTCTCTGCTGTAGGTCCCAACAGTGATTTTCCCCTGCTAGGTCCTGGTTGCTCTATTCCTCTATGATACTAATTATACATATAATATCATCTACAGCACACCTCTTTAATGGGCAAAAGAGATTTATTTTTAAGTCGTTATATATAAGATGTAAGCATAGCCAAATGTTTTCTCTCCTAAGCAGGAATATATGTTAGGGAAAAGATTGCTAAATATATGTGTTTAAAAGGTTTACTTCACACTGGGTAAAAGCAATAGAACACTCCGTGGGGTTTGTGAGGCAAAGCGTCTTACTCAGAAGCAAAGACACCTTCTCCCAAACTCTCTCTTTAATGCACGTTTTACACATCTTCACCTTCTAAAGCAACAAGAAACACCTTCATGAAAACTAAATAGCGACCAGAAGTTTATTACGGCAGTGCATTTTTCTGTGCATAGCTGACAATTCTGAATGAAAAGCGTGTGTATACTGGAGACCAGGTCTCACTTGGTAGCTCCAGCTGGCCTAGGACTTGCTATGTAGACCAGAGTGGTCACCTGCCTCTGCCCACCAAATGCTGGGAGTAAAGGCATACACCATGACACCTCAAATGCAAACTTTAAAAGTTACTTACCACATCTTACTGGACAAGGCACTCTCCCATCTTCCCCTCAGCTGGTTCATTACCCCTACTGAATCCACCTGGTTTTATTTTCTTGACTTCAGTTCTATGTTCAGTGCATAATACAAAGGAGATATTTTCTCTTTCAATTCTAACTTATTTCACTTTCATCCCTGTCTCTGTAAGACCAAGACCTGAGACAGGGTTTCTCTTTATAGCCCTGGCTGTCCTGAATCTCACTCTGTAGACCAGGCTCGCCTCGAACTCACAGAGCTCCGCCTGCCTCTGTGTCCCAAGTGCTGAGATTAAAGGTATGCATCACCATCACCTGGCCAATGATTCTTATCGAAGGCCGAGTGATACACTTTTTATATACAGCCTTCTCTGAGTCCAGCGATGAGCAGAATATCATACCACAGTTATTGTAATTGCTCAGTAAACATGGGCCTACAAGTTTATCTGCTTTGTCCTTATTAATTTCCATCATGTGTATAGACAGGCAAAGGAAACCTACCACAGACAGTAGTTCTATATTTCATTTCAGAAAAAAAAACAAATAAAAAACTTGTGAGCGAATGGACAACTGGACATTATCGACCATAGTGTGTATGCTTTTAATTTTTAAAATCATCATCATCACTATTATGTGAGGTGGGGTGAATATAGGCATGTACACACACACACACACACACACACACACACACACACACGATTGGAAGTCAGAGGACAAATTTCCAGAGTTCGTTCTTCTACCTCATCAAGTCAGGTTCTCCTTATTTCCCCTGTACTGCATACCCCAGGCTAGCTGGCCCATGAGCTTCTAGGCAATTCTGAATTCTATCATAGGTTTTTAGACAGGGTCTCACTATGTAGCTCTGGTTGGCCTGAAAGTTGCTATGTAGAGGAGGCTGGCCTCAAGCTCAGAGCACTGAGATGAAAGCTGTATGCTAACACACCCAGTTTAAATCTTATTTTAACAAGAAGGAAGAAAGAGAACGAGCACCCTGGTTCACTGCTTATACTAAAGGAAATGCTCCGCTTTGAGCATGAAACAGAGTTTTACCCGTGTGAGTTCTGGCTTGTCTGCTTAGTCTATCCCTTCAGGAGTGGGTACTGACATCAACTAATAGAACCTGACACTTTCGGGCACGTCATTTACAGGAATATTAGCTCACAAATGTTCAGGACATATATATTTATATTTGATATCTCTTCATAATGAATAGTCCATAGTTTCATAATAAACAGACTTCCTTTTGCTTTGCATATGCTTCAACTTTAATAAGAAAACCTAGTTTTGATTTCCTTCGCATTTAGTTTGTTTCAGATATCACTTTCCATCTGTTCAGTCTGTGTTTTCATTAGCAAACAAATGCAGGTGTTTCTAAGAATTTAGTTTGCTGCGTCAGCCCTGATTGGAAAGCTGAGGTGATTTGTTTTAAGGCTGCTATTGAAGCACATGTATGATTTCTCCCCTCATCTGAGAGGTGTTCTGGTTTACAAGTTAATATTGAGCACATTCTTCATGCCGGCGTTTGTTTATGAGACTTAGTCCTCAGGAGTAACTTTAGATAAAACTCAGGGAAAAAGTCCAACCGGGCCTGTGACTAATGAGTTTCCTTCCACGCTCGCCACGCAGTCACTGACCTGGGCGGCTCCTGTCCGAGGCTTCTGTTGCAGTACATGGCCCAAGTCCTTGCTCCAACTTGAAGATCAACTCAGGTTTGTTCAGACAGTGCCCTGTAAGTGTGGAGCAATAGATGAATGAAGCCAGAGTGCTGAGACGGATCGACAACGGACAGCTCGGATTCACGAATGGGGCTATGATCAGTGGTTAGAGGCCTGGGGGAGAGATACTCTCTCTTTCTTTGTTGACTGGAAGACTATCTTCAGGCTCATTACACTGTATGAAATATGACGAGATGATTTGAAGAGAACGGAAGTGATAATTAGAGACTACACATATGGTATTTAGGACAGACTGAAAATGAGAAAATCATCACAAAAAAAAAAACAAAACAAAAAACCTGGTCTGTGGACAATGAAAAGGGAGAAAATATTACATAGACCATAACTTTACAACTTGTTGCAGCCTTCCTCTTGTATGAGAAGGACTTCCTCCTGGGCAGGAGTGGGTGGAGTCATCGGAATTTGAAACCTATTGTATAGATCACACAAATAAATCAGTCAGGCACCCCAATTTTTCCAGTGCACCTCAGTGTGATCAGCTTCCTCTGATCACATGCTAGGTACAGCGAACAGAAAGATCAGTCCCTCCTGGCCCCTGCGAAGCCTTGCCACACTGTAGAATTCTCAGCTGGCTCAGGCTCTGCCTGGGCCCCTGTGAAATCTGAGCACATTCTGAAGCGGGAGCCGTACTGCAGGTTGAGCTAAAGAAGTGGGGGCCCTACTGCAGGCTGAGCTGAAGAAGCGGGGCCCTACTGCAGGCTGAGCTGAAGAAGTGGGAGCCCTACTGCAGGCTGAGCTGAAGAAGCGGGGGCCCTACTGCAGGCTGAGCTGAAGAAGTGGGGGCCCTACAGCGGTTGCCCAGCAACACGGCAAGAAGTTTTTAAGTTAACTTTTTAAAAGCAAAGTCAAGTTTTGTAAGAACTTTAACATCTTTTCAGATAAATGAGTGCAAACAAAGACTTTGGTTAAAAAAGGCAGCTTACTAAAAGTCTAATTATATATATAGTTATCAAAATTTTCTTTTTATTGAAAAAAGAAAAATTTAAGGAGCCAACATGGCATATGCCTCCAAATGCTGTATGTAGGAAACTGCTTTGAATGTTCTTGATGAAAAGGAGGGCAGCCAGGAGACATGGCCACGACCAGACATTGACTAGGAAACAGTCACTCATTTATTTCTTAGGGAGCACAGCTTTCTTGTGTTTAGAAAAAGGAAGAGGGCAAAAACATTTGTGGAATTCATAAAAAATCACTTACTGTAGTATGGAGAATTTCTGGAATGAAATGGTTTGATTATTACCACGGGTAGTGCCGGGAGCAAAGGCCTGTATTGGTGACAGTCAAGCCATCTTAGTTCACAAGTTAAGTAGGCTATAACCCACTATCTCCTTATCTCTTCCTGTGAGTTAAGAAAGCCCAAGACCTGCAGGCCCCAGGTCCCCGAAGTAATTAGCATTCCCCTTGTTAATTAACATTTACAGACCCTCAGTATTTCCTTATCTCTTCCTGTCAGCTAGGAATATCTCCAGAGCTGACATTTCAGTTTGAACAACTGCATAGCAACTACCCACCCCCTGCCCTTTTGCTATATAATGCTCCTGAGAAAAAATAAAATTTGCATATTTTGTATATATGCAAATATAGACTTGCTGTCCATTTTCTTGTGTCTCTTGTCCCTCCACTTCTCTCCTCCAGGGTCTGGGTACCCGATTCATGCCCCGCTGGTCGGGACAGGTAGAGTTCAAAATACAAAGAAGGATTTGGAACTTCGTTGTCATGAGTTTGTATGTGATGTATGTGGTCATCTACTCCCCTCCTCCCAGGGTAAAGAACACCTTTGATGCAGGCTGAGAATGCCCTTCAGGAACTTATTTAAACATAAGGCCCAAGCCGCTGCGGAGAAGGCATGTTGCTAACACTACTTCCTTACTTTGAGCCAGAGTGCGTAACTACAGTTAGCAAGGCTTGGGTAAGACACAATGCAGGGTTACTGACCATACAGCACACCGCCTTCCATCAATCTTTGTACAGAGTAAACACGTATAACTCTAATTGGTTAAAAGAGCTGACTGACCTATAGCTGGGCAGGAAGTGAGTAGGCAGGAGAGCCAGACTAGGAGGATGCTGGGAGAACGAAGGCGGGGTCTGAGGAGTTTCAAGCCAGCTGCAGAGGAAGCAGGACGTGTAGAAAGTGAGGTAACAAGCCATCAACCACATGGTAGATCTTAGACAAGAAATATGAGTTCAGTTGTAAGACCTAGTTAGTAACAAGCCTGAGCCATCAGCCAAGCATTTATAATTAATTTTAAGTCTCTGTGTGGTTATTTGGGAGCTGTGTTATGAATATGCAAATGTTTCAGTTTTCCTAAATACAAGCACTCCTGGCTAGAAGTCACTTTGAATTATTAATAAGCATTTGTGTTTGATTTTATATAACAAGTTTATTAAATATATTTTGTGTGTGGGAGGAGACCAGTCAAAGCTTTACAGAAGAACTCAATTGATGAACAGGGATTGGGAAGTAAAATTCTAAGATTCCAAAGTGATTGGGAAGCACATTATCTGCGACTGGGGAGATGACTCAGTGGGTTAAAGGGCTGTGCAGCATGAGGACCTGATTTCAGGTACACAGCATAAACACAAAACAAAACATAAACTAAGAAAATCTAACAACGACCAAAACTGAAGACTTGGCACACTTGTCTGCTACCCTGGTGCCCCTGTGGACGTCAGGAGATGGAGATAGGAGAATCCCCAGCAAGCTCACGGGCCACCTAGATTGACATATGCAGCACAAAACCAACAAGAAACACCATCTCAAGGTGGAACACAAGGACCAAAATCTGCGGTTATCCTGTGACCTCCATGTATGTAATACATGCATGTATTATGTACGTAATATGCCACCTGCTCCCAACTCCCTCCCACTGATGAAAAAGAAAATAATACCCGAAGAGTATTCCAGAAGAGAAGGGAAAAGACATTATAATATTGATTCAGTGAGAAAGTTTTACATTTGGGGGTAGATTAGCACACTCAGGTCCAGAGAGTTCAAAGGAAGTGTAATGGATCCGACCAATAGCGACTCCACATCTACCACACTCCAGTGAAACTCTGAGACAAACAGAATTCCAGATGTTCCAGGGGACAGTGTAGTGATGCTGCGCGTCGGAGAGCTACAGTGTAGCGATGCTGCCCGTCGGAGAGCTACAGTGTAGCGATGCTGCGCATCGGAGAGCTACAGTGTAGCGATGCTGCGCGTCGGAGAGCTACTGGAGGAACGGTCAAGCTCCTGTTGTGACCACCTGGACACTACAACGTTGTTCAAGCTACACAGGAACACAGCAACTAAATTACAGGTGTGTATTCCTAGTGAACACAGGTGCAAAAATTCTCAACAAAACTAGAAAACAAACATATAAAAAGATTATAAACGACCAAGTGTGGCATGTTCCTTAACCCCAGGACTCGGGAGGCAGAAGCAGATGAATCTGTGTTTAAGGTCAGCCTGGTCTACAGAGCAAGTTTCAAGATAGCCAGAGCTGTTACACAGAGAAACCCTGTCTCGATAAACAAAATAAAACAAAACAAAAATAACCCGAAAACCACCAACAGCAAACAGAAGAAAATAAGAAGCTTATGAAAAGGATCCCTGTGATTCCTCCCAGGGATCCCACTGTAACAGGCCCCAGACCTCAGCACAACTGACGCCATGATGGAGGCGCCCCTCAGATCACAACACACAGCACGTACACAGTTCCACTCGCCAAAACTAAAACAAAGGTCTATCCCGTCAGAGCCCATAGTTCTGGGACAGTCTCTAAACGCACCAACCTTGTTTTCTGGCTTCTGTAGTTCTGCTTCCGGCTAACTGTTCTTGTCAACTGAAGTATGTCAACCCAGGATGTAATTTGTGTTGTAAAAGCCCCCACTGAGAAAGGCCTGGTGCTTCACTGGGATCCTGAACACCCTGTGTAGTTGCCAGGCCAGGAAATAAAGACTTTCTAATGGCTCACACCCATGTCCAAGCTGTCTTCTCTGGTGGCTGCCCTACAACACCAAATGCCCATCCGGAAATTCACAAGTTTAAATCATCAAATTTACACATCGAGCAATAAACCATAGGAATGTCACAACAGATGCATGAAGGGCAATTTTAAAAATACGGTGGTGGTGCACACCTCTAATCTCAGCACCCAAGAGGCAGAGGCAGGCAGATTTCTGAGTTCAAGGCCAGCCTGGTATACAGAATGAGTTCCAGGACAGCCATGGCTACACAGAGAAATCCTGTCTGAAAAACAAACAAACTAATAATAATACCCTATCTTCATATAAACCCTCATGTGTTAGGCATGACTGTCTCCACAGAGTAATGATTACATACAATCAATAAATCCGTAGCCTCCAGCATAAGCAATGGAGAACGCACGAGATGTTTTCCTCTGAGGTCCCGAACAGGACAGAGATGTGCTCTTTCAACACTATTTCCCAATACAAGCTGAGGTCTCTAGACACACATATCTGATATCACGATGTTCTTTCTCACCAAAGGCCAAGCTCCTCCCCATCTTTCCTTCTGTCATTTCTTAATACAGAATGCAACCCTGCATTCCTTTCTGAGACATATTTCTGGCCAGATAAGGTAGGCTGCCCTCTCTAAAAACTGCATATAAAAGGGCAGTCAGAAAACTTCAAAAGCAACCACTGTGCCGTCAAACCCTCCGCGGCTGTCTCTGGCTGATCTCTTCCTGACATTGTGGCCAACAGGAGTCAGAAATCAGAAGTTAGGAAAGCTCAGCGACGGCTGCTGTCAGAGCTGTCAAGGAAGTAAAGGGCCCAGCCGGCACGAGCCAAGCAAAAGGTATGTGCCTGTGCAGATCTTTGCTCCCTTAGTTAGTGGAAAATGCCAAATTTTAGTTCAGATTTTTAAATAAAGATGGATTTGTAGCTCTAAATCAACTGGAAACAAAACCACGAGCAAAAGCAAACTGTGCCTCCTTTTAAAATGCCTGTCTCCGGTGTTATGTTGGTGTAATGGACTACTAACCACCACCAACTGATTTCAACAAGTCTAAGAACTCATATTCACAAGGGAAGTTCTCATGTGTCAATTTTGAGCTAAGATACAGGACATTCACAAAGCTAAGTAAACAGAGGTGATGGTTGCTTCATTGTCACCATAGAAGTCTACTAAAACTGAGTCCAAAGTTAAATATGAGAGTTGAAAACCATGAAGTTCTAGAATATACGGGCAGCATCAGTGTTTTAATACGTGTGGGACAGCATCAATCTCCAAATCATCTATACAGAAAAGCAGACAATTAGAAGAAATCAACTTACAGAATAAGAAAATATTGGGCTGAAGAGATGGCTCAGTGGTTAAGAGCACCTCCTGCTCTTCCAAAGGTCCTGAGTTCAATTCCCAGCAACCACATGGTGGCTCACAACCATCTGTATTGAGGTCTGGTGCCCTCTTCTGGCCTGCAGGCAGAGTACTGAGAATACTGTATACATAATAAACAAATACATCTTTTTAAAAAAAGAAAATACTGCTAAATGACTCATTCAATATGACATTAATATCCATAACATATAAGGACATTGAATATCCCGACGGTAGGAAGGCCTCCATATGTGTAGTGAGTGGATATTTCCCAGAAAAGTCAAAGACATAAGTGAAATGTATAGGCACACATGTGCACGTGCGCTCTCTCTCTCTCTCTCTCTCTCTCTCTCTCTCTCTCTCTCTCTCTCTCTCGTGCGCGCGCGTGGAAAAAAACACACGCTGGGGTTGGAAAGGCGTGAGTGGTTTTTACCGGGATGTCTATGGAAGCGATGACGAACTTATATTCTACAGAGCAGCAAACATGATCAAAAGCAATTAAATTCTTCAAGACATTTGTCAGATAAATTTGAAATGTTCACAACAGAAAACAGTAAAGCCGAGCTGATAAATGTCTCACATCCATCGTCTGACCATTACAAATGGCGTAAGGTGCTGCAAAAACCACTGCTCCCACACACTTGAAAATGTGCAATACAGGATTAATATTAAATTAACAGTGATTCCTACCTTATCAACTAAAAAAAGAAAGACTTGCCTCTGGAGGTTCTAGAGGAGTCTGACTCACCCAAGGACAGCAGGCTGCTGTAGGTCTCCAGCATCACGTCCCTGTAGAGGGTCCTCTGAGCAGCATCCAGGTCCTGCCACTCCTCCCGGGTGAAGTCCACGGCCACGTCCTCAAATGACACCTGCTCCCGCTCCTGTAACGACACAGTTCTCTTCAACCCAAGTCTTCAGCTTTTGGAACAGAAAGTGGGGGTTCATTCTATTCTGTGGCAGTCTCATAGCAGGCAACCTTTGATTTGTTTCATGGGAGAAAGAAAAACCAATCCAAAAATCTGTTAATATAAGAATTTCAAAAAACATGGTCAGAGTTTTCCAAAGGATTACAACACAGACAGCCTTACTGTGATTTCCCAAATGAAATCTCCAAGTTCTCTGAAATTTTCCACTTCCTGAAAGAAGTTGGTCCTTGTACCGAGGACCTCAGTTTATTGAATACAGAAATACCTAAAGTTCTGGAAACAAAGGCATCTGGGCACATGCAAGTCTCCCTGGATCTAAAATCGAATGAGCGCTTCACTACTTCTGTGGTAAAGTAATTAAAAGGGAGAAAAATATAGAACTCTGTCCATTCACCGACTTTGCATGAGTGCTCTCTTCCACTGGCTTTTTGTTTTTGTTTTTTCGAGGCAGGGTTTCTCTGTAGCTTTGGAGCCTGTCCTGGAACTAGCTCTTATAGATCAGTCTGGCCTCGAACTCACAGAGATCCACCTGCCTCTGGCTCCTGAGTGCTGCTGAGATTAAAGGCATGCGCCACCACCGCCCGGCCCAGTGGCTTTTGGCGGTTTGAATTCTAACAGACTTGCACCAGATATTGAATGCATCACGTAGCAGAATGTCTGCACTCTACATATAACTATAAAAACAGTTTTAAAAAGAGACGAATTACAAGTGATAAGAGGAAACGGGCAGACCAAAGAGGGAATTCCGCACTCTATTCTTAATATGAAAATTAGTAAAAGCATTTTATAAATCGACTTTTCAGTTCTTTAAAACCTTAAACAAAAGCTGGGCGGTGGTGGTGCATGCCTTTAACCCCAGCACTGGGGAGGTAGAGAAAGAAGCAGGCAGATTTCTGTGAATTTGAGGCTAGCCCACTCTAGCCTGAGTACTAGGTTCACCAGGGCTACACAGACACACCTGCCAAATAAAGGAAAAGGCGTCCCATCCACGTTCACTGTGACACAGGGAAAATGGAAGTGCTGGGCCCGAGGGAGGAGAGGCTGATAAAGGGTCTTAGGTTTAGCAGTCTGCAGGGCCCCTGGCGAAATCAACCTCCAGAGGCCTAGCCACTGCATGCTCTTGCGTGGTGTGACCGTGATCTGCTCACCAGGCATAACACCAGCGCTCCGCGATGCTCCCCGCGCCCGTCGTGTGGGTCCCACTACCCGCGGGCACAGTGCCTCTGCTGTCCTCTGCACACCTATCCAGCCGCAGGAACACACAGGCGGGCCCCGGCCCCCATGGCATGCCCAGGCCCGGGCCAGAGGTGTTTTGCCAAACAGTTAAGGTCACCAGAGCCAAGAGTTCATGACACAAATAGATGGAGTTCCAGGTACCAGGGAGACAGAATCAAGCTGAGGTCCCAGGGACAGATGGGAGACCGTCTAGGCACCAGGCTGAACACCTAAAACCCTAGAGCAGTGTCGGGAATTGGCCGGCGGGAGCCAGGGGACAGAGATGAGAAGCCGAGGGGCATAGACAACAAAGAGCCAAGGCGCAGGGTCCAGGCATGGTGATCGCTTCCCTTCCCGTCCGGCACCACACACGCTCGGGGCCAGAGCGGCGGATAGCGGGGACCAGGGAGGCGATAGGATGCGCGGGGTGCCCGGATCCGGCTGGGGGACTGCGGACTCGGGGCTGGGGACCACCCGCCACACACTCACCATCTCCAGATTCCGGGGCACCAGGGTGCACACCATGGTTCCTCGCGCGGCCATGTGCAGAACCTCCCGGGACGCCTGGGCAGCACGGAACACCTGGACCGGACCCAAGATGGCGAACAGGTGGCGCAGACTTCGGCCCGCCCCTGCTCTCCGTCCGGGTGCTTGATTGGACGGTCATCACCACAGGGCCTCGGAGACGGCTCGGCCCACCTTCTCAGATCCTAAGGGACAGTAAATGACAAGTTCTTGGCTGCGAATATTTACGGCAGGGAGAACCAGCCCCAGCTGTGCATTTACACTGAATCTTCTAATTAAGGTTACATCGTCTAAAATGTATTTATAAGTGGAAATCGTGTCATGACTTTTTTGTTTGTTTGCTTTTGTTTTTGTTTTTGTTTTTGTTTTTCGAGACAGGGTTTCTCTGTAGCTTTGGAGCCTGTCCTGGAACTAGCTCTTGTAGACCAGGCTGGCCTCCAACTCACAGAGATCCGCCTGCCTCTACTCCTGAGTGCTGGGATTAAAGGTGTGCACCACCACCGCCCAGCGGATGACTTTTTTTTTTTTTTTAACCCCCTGAAATAGGGTCTTTCAATATAACTCTGGCTGTTCTGGAACATACTGTGTAGTCCCGGCTGGCCATGAGCTCACAGAGATCTGCCCGCCTCTGCCTTCCTAGTGCAGGGTTAAAAGGTGCACTACACTGTTAATCCCACAGATTCGACTACCTTTTGAAACTGAGGCTTGGTTGCGGTTTCCTGGAACAAGCAGTGCAGAGCCATTTGTAGTTAAGGTTGCAGGCAGGCCATAGCTCAATCTTTGAGAAACAGATTTAATCATAAACAGGAATGAACCTAGTTTGTCTGTAATATAAGATGGCTTCCAAGCCTAAGATGAAGGCAGACTGGTTGAGAATATCTTTATAAAAGTGATCGTTATGATTCATAAAAATAGACGTCCATATAGTGTGAAATCAGCATAATTTGAGACAGAGTTTAAGCACATGCAGCTTTGTCCAGTGCTATAAACGATCAAGTGATAAGTGTTTCAAGACTTAATAATTCTTGGTATATAGACTATAAATGAAAAAAATTAACTTTTTCTGACAATAAATGATGTGGAATTTCCACCAGTTACACAAATTCCATTAGCAAATTACCTAACAGAATGTTTAAAACAACCACAACAACAAAAAAACCAAGGAAGAGAATTTGTTCTGCCAGACTGGTTACGTTTCTGCACTTGCTGGTTTAACCCCTCACTCCTGAGGAGGATCATGTCAGTCTGTGAAGCAAATATATAAGTAAAAAAAAAAAATAGAATGTAAGCAGGAAATGAGGCTAGAGCATGTTTAGCTACTGCCAGGAATCATGTTTTATAATCTCCTGGCTTCTGGTTCGCTTTGGAAGGGTGGACATAAGCAATTCCATCTTGCTGGTTTGAGAAAAGGTTTTATCCTGAAGCCTATGTGGTAACCTCGGAACTACCACCTTTCTGCTTCAGCTGGCAGGCGCAGATTACAGTGTGGCTTTACCTTGGTTCTGACCATGCCCCCTTTGTCTCTGAGAAATAGTCTCTAAAGACATTGCTGATGGACCATCTGGTGGCTTGTTCTCTGTCCCAGGATGTCAGGGAAAGATTCGTCCTGGTTGGGGGAGGGGCAAGTGACAGACATGAAGGAATTAGAACCCTTAAGTCCCTTAGTCCCGCTTTAACCAGATGAGATACAGAAGTGGCTCTTAGGGGTGCTGAAGTCCATTCTGCTTATACTGCTTGGAAGAAGGTTTGGATTTGTCGGAGCAGCATTTCTACAGAATTTAGTTATAAACTTCTACATCAGCTTATTTATAAGGTTTTCAAAACCACAACGAACAAGAGTTAAGCTGTTTTGAAAATGAAATGATTGTATGCAAATACATCTTATTCAATACCTATAGATATTTAGAAGGTTTACAGAGCTTATGAGGCTCTTATCCACAGTGCCAGAAACAATCAGCCTGACACAGAAGAACCAGGCACAAGCTATTCCCAAAGCAAACTTTAGAAACTTTAGTTAGGTAGGATAAGTCTATTCAAAATTTTAAATCTCTCACAAATTTGAGAACAAGGCTGGTTATTATCGACAGATTATATGGCTGGTGGCTGAATCTGGCAGTTCCTATCTGGAGCTGAAGCCCGGGGGATCCCTGGAGATCTGGCCCTCAGTCTACCTTGGATTGCTCAAGACGATGCCGCCACGCGGTGGGTGAACTTGCCAGCGAGAGGGGCAAACCGGTGAAAAGCAGCTTCCCTAGTCCGTGTCCTTTTGTGTGGATTGCCACAAGAAGGTGCTGTCCACATTTACAGTGGGTTTTTCTGCCTGAAATAACCTAGTTAAGAAAACCCCTCACAGGCATGCCCAGCAGCTTAGTTGATTCTAGATGGAGTCAAGGTGATAAGCAAGATTAGTGATCACACAGAGCATGGTGGTACACCTGAAATTTTATGACTGGTTAGCAGGAGAACAAGAAGTTAAAGATCATCCCCAGCTATATATGAACTTCAAGGGCAGCCTGGGCTACAAGACACCCTGTCAACCCCAAACCCCATAGGTGAGGAAAGCAGTGGTCCCTGGTGCTTGCACCTGTGGGAGGAGGTACCAGAAACTCTATCCTAGGATCTAGAAACCGTGAATGGGTGGAAAGCAGGGATGGCGTATAAAGCATGATTCAGGCCCCGCAGTCACCCCAGGGAGCTGGGGTCCCTAGACGGCACCCCAGGGAGCTGGGATCACATTACTGTCTGTAATTCATCTGCCAAGGCCGGTGTCATCTGCTTGGAGCTGGACCACTAGAGCTAGATGGCAAGCCACATCACATGAAGCACCATAGCCCGAAGACCCACAGGACAGGATGGTCCTCAGAGCCCTGGGACTACAGCTTACGATAATAAGTTCCCTCTGGTGGTCAAGACCTGCCAGGCCTTCAAGGCTCACCACACAACACGTAGCTGTGAACACTTAAGAAAGGGCTGGCCTTGGCGCATTTGCAGGGAGCACAGGGCCACACACATGATGAAGTAGTTAGGCACAGGAAGGGGGTGGGACTGACTGGTGAGGTTGGTGACAACAAACCGAGCACTTGCTGGCAAGCACAGTTCAGAGAGACGTAAAGACGTGCCTTCCCCACAGGGCATCAGGAGTGCTCCTCACTCCCTGACTCGCTTGGTGCCTCTAGCCCTTGCTTGGGCTTCTCATCTGCTTCCTTCTGCGCTGCCAACCCAGCTGGGACCACTAGTGCGGACCCTGATTCCCGCTTTTGCCTCTGGCCATTCCTGTCTACAGCTTGTCTCCTTTAAGGTTTCATTCTCAGGACTTTGATTTCACAGGGTACAAACTTTATCCGGACTGCCTTCAGCCCTCCACTGTCCCCTCAAGGGCGTTGGTCACCCTGGGATGGCTGTGCTTACTCTGCATTCTGACCTTTGCCCTGACTCCATTCATGATTGAACAAAACCCCGGTTCTCTCCCTTAAGGCTCAGGCCCTCTTTGTATGGACCAAGCCACCAGTTCAAGCGGTAGTAACTTCTACTATAATTTCTCACTGTTCTATGATATTCTGTTTTTTTTTAAAACCAAATATCAATCTCTGGATAAATGGGTTAAAACTGATATAGGTTCCTACTGATGATTCCAAATATACAGGAATCATGAAATAATAATTAAAAATGAGTTACATTTGTTTATGTTGTGGAACATTGGTTTAATGAGACAAAGATGTGTTGCATTCTTTTATGCTGAATTTGTTTAACTCTGTGAAGCTGTGTTACTTTTTCTGTTTAAAACGTCTGACTGGTTTAATAAAGAGCTGAATGGCCAATAAGGCAGGAAAAAGGATCAGTGAGACTGTCAGGCAGAGAGAATAAATAGAAGGAGAAAAAGAGAAGGAGGCGTGAGAGGAGAAGGGGATGCCAGGGGCCAGCCACCCAGTCAGATGTGGAATAAGAAGGAAAGAAAAGATATACAGAAATAGAGAAAGGTAAAAATCCCAGCGGCAAAAGGAAGACAGAATACTTTAAGAAAAGCTGGCTAGAAATAAGCCAAGCTAAGGTCAGGTGTTCTTAAGAAAGAATAAGTCTCCATGTGATGATTTGGGAGCTGGGTGGTAAGCCTCCAAAGAATAAAGAGAGAAAATAAACAACAACTGCATAGAAGTAGCGGGGCTTTTATGTGGCAGCGTGAGTTGTCTAGATGGGATATGGCCCCTATTACAGGGTAACTGAATTTAAATTTGTGTGGTGTGTGTGTGTCCCCGTGCACATGCATGCACACATTTGTCTGCCTGCCTGCCTGCCTGCTTGCCTACCTATCTATCTGTGTGCATGTCTGTGTGTATTTTAGGAAGCTTCTACAGCGTGGCTTTTTCAAAAGGCTTCACTGTTAACTATCCCTTCCCACGTTTCCTACACTGCCTTGGCCTCTCGTCCTCCACCCGCTGTAATCCTCCATGCTCCGCGGTCCACTGTTCCCGCCACAGCGCTACACTCTAGCTCCCTTTCCCCTCCTCCCCATGACACCCTACCACCCGCCTCACTTCTACAGGTATTTCAAATAAAACACACATTTCTTTCTTTTATTTTTAATAAAAGCTAACTTATGAGAGAATATGCAGTGTTTATCTTTCTCGGTCTGGGTTACCTCACTCAAGATGATTGTTTCCAGTCCCATCCACATACCTGTGGATTTAATAAAGTTTTTCTTAACAACTGAATAATATTCTGTAGTGTACCACATTTTTGTTGTCCATTCATCAGTAGATGGACATCTAGGCTGTTTCTAGTATCTGGCTGTTGTGAATAGAGCAGCAATGGACACGGATGACCCGGTATCTCTGTAATATATAGAATCCTTCGAATATATGCCCATGAGTGGTAGCTAGAATGTGTGGTACCTCGCTTCAGTTATTGAGGAATCTTTCTGCTGCTTTCCTCCGTGGCTGCACTAGTCTCCACTGCAGTCAGCAGCGAGGAAGAGCCCTCCTTTCCCACATCCTCCTCAGTGTCTGCTGTCATTCAAATTGATTTTTGACCTTGGCCATTCTGACCAGGTAAGATGAAATCTCAAAGTTTAAATCCGCATTTTCCTGATGGCTAAGGACAGCGACCATTTTAAAAAATATTTCTCATT